TCCTCCTGCCCCTTCGGCTGGAAACCCACGTGGCAGCAGAGGACTTGCTTCGATTCCCCCTCCCCCGCCAAAAAAAAAGCGGAGCCCACCTTGCGTTCTGATTGGGCAGCCTGGGCTTCTATGTAAAAAGTCTGACGCACTACGGGAGGGCGGGGCTTGGCAAAGAGGCTCCAGGGGGCGGTGGCCTCCCTGGCTCCATGTGCCGGTCCCCTTATAAATAAGCCTAGGAAGATGCTGCAGGACTTCATCTGCTCCTCACCTTCTCCTGCCAGCCTCCTTCCCAGCCAGGATGCCTCAGACCCTCAAGCTGGCCAGCCGGGCCTCCCTGCTCTCCAGGGCCTTCCCGGAGATCCTGGCCGAGCTGGGCTTCAAGGCGCCCGTGAGAGTCATCAAGACCCACAAGACCCTGGAGGACATGCCAGGACCCAGCGCCCTGAGCTTCTTCCGGGACCTCTTCTGCAAACGGGGGCTGGCCCGGCTGCACGAGCTCCAGGTAAGAAGCTGGGTGCACCATGCCTCCCCTCCACGCCAGGCTGCTTCGTGTCCGCTACTGGATGGAGTCCCCTTGGGGAACTTCTGCGCCTTAAAAGTAGCTCCTGTCTTTAGCCAACATTGTCACATAGCAGTTAGGATCGAGGACCAGGTTGTCCAAGGGACCTAAAGTCTCCCCATTCACACTGGAGAATTTCCCATCACTGCAACAATAGAAACTGCTGGATATTTAATAATAATATTAATTAATTAATAAAAGGTTCTAGCTAGGAGTTTCGACTAAGTGGATGCAGTGCCCGAGGCTCAAAACCCAGTGCCATTCAAGCCCTGTTTATAAATCCCAGCCTGAACATTCAAAAGGCAGGGCAGTCAAAGGTGGCCGCCCCCATAAATATGTACAATTGTGTTTTTGGTTACTTGTCTATGTTGTTTCCATGGGAGGAACAAATAGGTATACGGGGTGTACATCAACTAAGGACACCATATGTGTCCAAAGAGGCTTGCAAAACTCTGTGGGTATCAGGTAGGTTAACTGTAATCGAAGACACAGAGGGGTCGCTGTGTTAGTCTGTAACTTCAAAACCCAGGAGTAGTTCTGTGGCACCGGAGAGACTACCAGCTCCATAGCTAGGATCATGAGCTTTCGTGGGTAAATGATGATGAAGTGGATGTTACCCCTGAAAGTTCATGATCTGATATATTTGTAATCAACGCATTCACTGGTTAGTCTCATTCTACCCAATGCTTAATAAGTCTCAGAGCGGCAGCTGTGTTGCAACTAAAGCCTTCTAAGGTTTTGTAAATACGTTTTTCTAACCAAAAACGTGTTTAGGAGGCCACAGAACTCCTATGGGGGGTGGGAAACAGTGAAATGCATTTGCAGCATAAATGAATCGCACTCTTTAATGAGGGCTTTGCTAGATCAAGGAGAGAACTGGATCTCGTTTTGCTCGTTTGGGCGCATGCGTTCTGCACACTTTATTTTCCGTGCTTTTGGAAAGACCCACAGGGAAGCAGTGTGGCAGGGCTAACGCTGAGATCCATTAGACCCATGCGTGTGTTCCGTTCTCCGGGTTGACGGAGGATTTTTTTAAAAATTTCGCTCCTTTTTATACAAAAGGAAAGAAAAGAAAAATGCGGGAAATGACTCCAGGTGTTCTGTCTGGCCCCAGAGTGTCTGAATAAAATCCCTGTAGAAATTGGTGGGAGTCATTCATAAAGTTGCCCTAACTTGGGAAAAAGCCCTGCTATGGGAATCACCTTTGAATTGACCAAGCAAATGGTTGCTAGGATTTCACCTCTTTCCAACTGCACATCGGCTTGTGTAGAGTACGGGGTTTAAAAAGTAGCGGGCATCGGATCCCCGCTGTGGCTAACTTTTAACCACTTTCAAACTTCGCTCGATGACTTTTCCTCTCTGGGGATGAGCCAGGTGCCAAATGGCCCCCAGGAAAGCATGGAGTTATCCGTGTGCCATAGCAAACAACACCCGTTTCTTTTCATGCCTGGGTATATTTATATTTAGTCTTCCTTTCGCCCTGGCTCAGAACCTGAAAAGGACTGGGAGTGGGTCGAGCAGAAAAACTCATGTAAGGCTTCAGCCTGGAAGTGAAATTTACCAGCGGAAAGCTGAGGTTTAGAACAGAGCACAACTGGCTTCAGTGGAGCATCACTTAAGCACTAAGCAGATAGTCCAGCTGCCTTGAGAGGCAAATCCACATATTTAAAGGCGCTGGCATCACTGCCCCTCCCGGTTTGCCAAGCCGTCTTGCGGTGCGTGGCACGAGGAAGCTTGACAGCAATAGAAACTGTGTGTGTGGGAAGTGGGTTATTTTTCTGACCTCGTGTCATGCACTCCCCTGCCTGAGTGGAGCCCTGAATAGCCTCGATGACATGACTGCATCCAGCCCTAATTACGTTCCGAGTAAACGAGGCACCGTTCCCTTTGGATTAGCCAAATCCCTCTCGACTTTCTCGCTCTCTCCTGCGGGCCGCGAGGAGTGAATCCCTGGCAGGGCCTAGTAACAGAGGCTACAGGGGAAGGAGAGCGCTGAGTAACCAAGCCCCCGCAGGCTGAGTCTGGCCAGCAGATCCCGGACCGGTTTCTCTGTGCTCGATTTCTGAGCACGCCTGCCCAGATGGTCCTGGAAGGCTCCGGTGCCTGAAAGCTCCAGGAGGGGCTGCTGCTGGCTGCGGAGATCCTGAGCGGGGAGCTCGGTGGAGTTTGAATTTCATTGATCAGTTGCGATTTGTCGCTGCCGCAGGCTAGCAGGACTGGTGGATGGAGCCGTGTGTAGGTTGCGGCTGTCAGGGGGCTGGATTCCTATAATGCATCGTTGTCTCCTGGTCAGTTCCAGGCAGCTGGTGGCGAAAGCCCAGCCAAGGAGCCAACTCCTTGGGGTCCAGAGAAATGAGACGGGGGGGATGTTGCTGGCCTCCCGGAGCAGCTTTTCTAGCGCGTCCCGAGTTTCTGGGCATTGACGAATTGTCTCCTCTCCTAGATGGAAGGAAAAGCCAAGTACGGGCCGGTGTGGAAAGCCAGCTTTGGGCCGATCCTGACCGTTCACGTCGCGGAACCCAGCCTGATCGAGCAGGTGCTGAGGCAGGAGGGCAAACACCCCATCCGCTCCGACCTGTCCTCCTGGAAGGACTACCGGGTGTGCCGCGGCCACGCGTTCGGGCTGCTCACCGCGTAAGTCGGCTGCTCTCCTAGGCGAGGGCCACGCTGGGTGGGGAGGCTGCCAGACATCTCTAGCACCCGCTGGGCTCCGCAGGCTACGGACGATCCGCTGCAAACGCACGGGCGTTTCGGGCTGAGGCTGTGCCCAAGGGGGTCAGGGGCGCAAACGCCGTTGACTGTCACCAGACTCTGCGAATCGTAGTCTCTGGGTTCTGGGGGAGCCCCACGCCAGGATCAGGGCCGTCCAGAGAAGTAGCAGATGCCCGACAAGGCCGGGAGGGGAGGGTACAGGAACCAAACAAAGCGGCATTGAGCAGAAAAGCCGAGATTTTTCTTACCGGTGAGGAAAGGAGCTAAGAAAGAGCCGAGGCCCAAAATGGGGAGATTGTGGGGTCTTCCCTCCTTGTGGGGTGCTCCTGGCACACTGCCCGACTCTTCCCTCTGTGGTTCAGTGCCAGGCGGGATCCGGTTCCCCGATCCCCACGGCTCATCGGCACGGGCTGGTGCTGTCTTGGCGGGACCCAGCAAGTCCTGGTCCGGAAGCACGTTGCTCATGTGCTAAGGTTTTGCGCAAGGCCAGCCGGAGGCATGAGTCGGGCGAGAGGGCCCTGACGTGTCTGAATCAGCGGGGTGACTCAGGCGCCCGGTGTGAGTAACCGGCAGAGGCGTGCAGGCCTGGGGGCTAGCTGGGAGCTGCGTTCCCAGCACGCCTGAGCCCCTGCCGGTGGGCTTGGTGCTGGCTTGATGCACCCCATTGGAGTGAGCTTAACCCCTCCCCATCTGCGCCTCCTGCAGCAAGGCGGGGGTGAGGTGTCGGCACGGGAGAGGTTGGGCACCACCAGTAGCATAGATTAGCCCAGAGCAGGGTTCCTTGTAAGCTGAGTGCGTGGCCACCCGGGACAGTTGCCAGCAGCATGTGTTTATGTGGGTGGTGCACATCTGCACATGCCTTGGTGCACATGAAAAAATTATTCTGCACATGGGTAGAAAAAATTAGAGGGAACGTTGGCCCAGAGGTGGCATGGGAACTCTTTGGGTGCCAGAGTCTCCTGGGAAAGCTATGCCTGAGGGCAGCTTCCGTGGCTGGCTGGGACTCGAGGGCTGGCCTGGAGGCAGGTTCTGTGCAGGGCTCCCCCAGATCCTGCTCTCCCTGGCTCCCCACACCCGGGGCTTGCAGCCTGTCTCCCTGGAGGGGTAACCGGGTCTCGCGTGCCCTTGCAGGGAAGGAGAGGAATGGCAGAAGATCCGCAGCATCCTGGGCAAACACATGCTGAAGCCTAAGGAGGTGGAGTCGTACACGGGGACCCTGAGGACTTGCAGAGGCGCCTCTGGGAATGAGAGGCCTGCGGTTTCACGGGGGGACTTGCAGAGGCGCCTCTGGGAATGAGAGGCCTGCGGTTTCACGGGGGGACTTGCAGAGGCGCCTCTGGGAATGAGAGGCCTGCGGTTTCACGGGGGGACTTGCAGAGGCGCCTCTGGGAATGAGAGGCCTGCGGTTTCACGGGGGGACTTGCAGAGGCGCCTCTGGGAATGAGAGGCCTGCGGTTTCACGGGGGGACTTGCAGAGGCGCCTCTGGGAATGAGAGGCCTGCGGTTTCACGGGGGGACTTGCAGAGGCGCCTCTGGGAATGAGAGGCCTGCGGTTTCACGGGGGGACTTGCAGAGGCGCCTCTGGGAATGAGAGGCCTGCGGTTTCACGGGGGGACTTGCAGAGGCGCCTCTGGGAATGAGAGGCCTGCGGTTTCACGGGGGGACTTGCAGAGGCGCCTCTGGGAATGAGAGGCCTGCGGTTTCACGGGGGGACTTGCAGAGGCGCCTCTGGGAATGAGAGGCCTGCGGTTTCACGGGGGGACTTGCAGAGGCGCCTCTGGGAATGAGAGGCCTGCGGTTTCACGGGGGGACTTGCAGAGGCGCCTCTGGGAATGAGAGGCCTGCGGTTTCACGGGGGGACTTGCAGAGGCGCCTCTGGGAATGAGAGGCCTGCGGTTTCACGGGGGGACTTGCAGAGGCGCCTCTGGGAATGAGAGGCCTGCGGTTTCACGGGGGGACTTGCAGAGGCGCCTCTGGGAATGAGAGGCCTGCGGTTTCACGGGGGGACTTGCAGAGGCGCCTCTGGGAATGAGAGGCCTGCGGTTTCACGGGGGGACTTGCAGAGGCGCCTCTGGGAATGAGAGGCCTGCGGTTTCACGGGGGGACTTGCAGAGGCGCCTCTGGGAATGAGAGGCCTGCAGTTTGGGGACTTGCAGAGGCGCCTCTGGGAATGAGAGGCCTGCGGTTTCACGGGGGGACTTGCAGAGGCGCCTCTGGGAATGAGAGGCCTGCGGTTTCACGGGGGGACTTGCAGAGGCGCCTCTGGGAATGAGAGGCCTGCCACTGAATTTTGATGGGCTCCAGGCACCGAAAGCCCTTGGGTTCCCGTGAGGAAGGGAAGAGCTGGTCCCGTGGGAAAGCAGCGGGGGGCTCTGGAGCCCAGGCAGTGGGGCTGAGCTGGGTCCTGTCTCTTCCAGCCAAGGGCCACATTGACAAGCGGATGGCGGAGGTGGCCGAGAAAGTCTCGCGGGGGGAGACGGTGGACGGCAAATACCTCACTTACTACCTCGCCCAGGAGAAGCTGTCCATGAAATCCATCTACGGCAACGTGACCGAGCTGCTGCTGGCCGGGGTGGACACGGTGAGCACCACGACAGTGCTGGGGCTGCTGCGAGAGCTTCTCCTTATCAGCCGTGCTCCTCAGGGATTGAATCCTTAATGGAACCGGGGTGGAGGCTGCATGGAAGGGGTTCCGGCACCCAGAGGATGGCTGGTTTTAACGTTCCCTCTAATGGGTCCCATTTGTGTGCAGAATCAATTTTGTTTGGTGCACCAAGGGATGTGCACCATCCTGCTGGCTGAGGGCGCTCTGCTGATCAGCCGGGAGCATCTGACTTGCTCCCAGGCGGCTACGCCACCCTCACAAGGAACGCTGCCCCGTTCCCCTCCAGCGCCCCTCCAGCCTCTTGCTTACCCCTCCCTCGCTCCTCCGCTCTTGCAGATTTCCAGCACGCTGTCCTGGAGCCTGTACGAGCTGTCCCGGCACCCCCGGGTGCAGGCGGCGCTGCACGAGGAAATCACCGGGGTGATGAAAGGCGGGGCCGTCCCGTCGGCCGCGGACTGCCCCGTTCCCCTCCAGCGCCCCTCCAGCCTCTTGCTTACCCCTCCCTCGCTCCTCCGCTCTTGCAGATTTCCAGCACGCTGTCCTGGAGCCTGTACGAGCTGTCCCGGCACCCCCGGGTGCAGGCGGCGCTGCACGAGGAAATCACCGGGGTGATGAAAGGCGGGGCCGTCCCGTCGGCCGCGGACGTGGCCCAGATGCCGCTGCTGAAGGCGGTGGTGAAGGAAGTGCTGAGGTGAGTGCGGCTGGGCCGTGGCGGGACAGGGGGGCGAGACATCCAAGTGGGGGAGTACCTCATCCCCAGGAAGGTGAGCGGCCGACCCCTGCCTGGCTAACGGGGTGAGGAGGGGGTGGGCTGGGAGGGAAAGGAGGCCCTGCACCTCAGCATCGGTACCAGCCCCATAGATCCCTGCACCTCAGCATCGGTACCAGCCCCATAGATCCCTGCACCTCAGCATCGGTACCAGCCCCATAGATCCCTGCACCTCAGCATCGGTACCAGCCCCATAGATCCCTGCACCTCAGCATCGGTACCAGCCCCATAGATCCCTGCACCTCAGCATCGGTACCAGCCCCATAGATCCCTGCACCTCAGCATCGGTACCAGCCCCATAGATCCCTGCACCTCAGCATCGGTACCAGCCCCATAGATCCCTGCACCTCAGCATCGGTACCAGCCCCATAGATCCCTGCACCTCAGCATCGGTACCAGCCCCATAGATCCCTGCACCTCAGCATCGGTACCAGCCCCATAGATCCCTGCACCTCAGCATCGGTACCAGCCCCATAGATCCCTGCACCTCAGCATCGGTACCAGCCCCATAGATCCCTGCACCTCAGCATCGGTACCAGCCCCATAGATCCCTGCACCTCAGCATCGGTACCAGCCCCATAGATCCCTGCACCTCAGCATCGGTACCAGCCCCATAGATCCCTGCACCTCAGCATCGGTACCAGCCCCATAGATCCCTGCACCTCAGCATCGGTACCAGCCCCATAGATCCCTGCACCTCAGCATCGGTACCAGCCCCATAGATCCCTGCACCTCAGCATCGGTACCAGCCCCATAGATCCCTGCACCTCAGCATCGGTACCAGCCCCATAGATCCCTGCACCTCAGCATCGGTACCAGCCCCATAGATCCCTGCACCTCAGCATCGGTACCAGCCCCATAGATCCCTGCACCTCAGCATCGGTACCAGCCCCATAGATCCCTGCATCATGGCATCGGTACCAGCCCCATAGCCCCCCAACCCCGTGCACTCCTACCACGCCCTCTGCATGCTCCACTCCCCTCCTATCAGGGCCCACAGCCTGGGCCCAGCTGGTGCTAACCTACCCTCCCCTCCCCTTGCAGATCCTGATGCACTTTGAGGTGAAGCCGGAGCCGGAGGGGGGCCCGGTCAGGCCCATGACCCGCACCCTGCTGGTGCCCGAGACGGACATCAACCTGCAATTCCTGAGCCGCTAATGCCAGCAGAGAGGAGCCTCTGCTGCTGGGGTGCCTCTGGTGCTGGAGGCGGCTGAGCCCCCCACGGGGTGACTGGCCGCGTCCGAGCGGGCTGGCCCCGGATCGAAGCCAAGGGAAGGAGGTGCCATGCCACGGAGCACGGGCAGAGAGCCGTGTCACGAATCGGGGGGGCCTGGGGCCCTGCCCCCACCTGGACTGTCCCGCACCCTGGACTTGGCCTTCCCGTGATGGGAGTGACTTTCCCAGAGGCAGCGCCCCCTGCAGGCAGCATCGGGCACTGCAACGCGCACGGCTCAGCCCAACTGGCCGCGGCCCTTCAGAGCGCTGAGCCAAACTGCCCCGCTCCCGGTCCGAGCGCCCAGGGCGGCGGCAGAGTGGGCACAGCGGGAGCAAACCTGGATCCCACGGGTGGCTCGGAGGCTGACTCGGGTCTGCCCCCACGGAGCATCGCCTCTTCCCCGCGGGGTCCTGCAACGAGCTGAGGAGTGTGCCCAGATGAGCTCAGGGTTGTTGTTCCTTGAACACGTGGACTTGTATTTATTACCTGTAACTTATTCCTCTTGCTCGGGGCACGGAGCGTTGGGGCTTTTCCCACGCTGGCCGCGAGGCGGCTGGTATCTAGGGCGGCAGCATGAATGCCCCTCGCCTGCCGTCAGGCATAGGGCAGTCTGGCTGCAGCCGGTGCTGGTGCTTTGATATTTAATGGTTATTTATTAATATTATTCCTTGTCAATAAATATGACTTTTTTATAAAAAAAACAACAACCCCACAGTCTGAGTTTGGTGTGGGTGGGAGAGGTGGATTACAGGTAAACGACACTGAAACTGACGTACGTGCATGGCGAAACGATAAAGTAACGCTTCGCGTTCCCAGCTGGGACCACATCTGAGTCATAAGAACGGCCGTACTGGGTCAGACCAAAGGTCCTTCTAGCCTAGTATCCTGTCTCCCAATAGTGACCAGCACCAGTGCCCCAGAGGGGGTGGACCGAAGACGCACCAAGTGCTCCAAAGAGGGTGGACCGAAGACAATGATCAAGCGATTTGTCTCCTGCCATCCCTCTCCAGCCTCTGACAAACAGAGGCCAGGGACACCATTTCTACCCCCTCGCTAATAGCCTTCTATGGACCTAACCTCCATGAATTTATCTAGCTTCTCTTTAAACTCTGTTATAGTCCTAGCCTTCACAGCCTCCTCTGGCAAGGAGTTCCACAGGTTAACTACACGCTGTGCCAGGCCCCCTTATGTCAGGTGCTGCAGGTACCGTGAGGAGGAGGGGAAACTGAGGCACAGGAGGGGGAAACGAGGCACAGATGGAGGGAAGGGGGGAGTAGACTTGGTAATCGACTGCCATTCCAGTGCCCTGCTCTCTGGCTCCTGCTGCCTCTCTTTTCCCCGTGCCCGTCTTGGGTGATGGATGGTGCCGGTTTGCTCCCTGGGGGAGAGACACACTCAAGACGCCTTCCATCCAGTGAAGGGTCGGGCCCCAAGCAAGCCGCTGCAGCTGGACCCCAGTGCTGCGGGGCTGCCTCCAGGGCCGGTGCGTCCCCCTTCGCCCAAAGTGGGCATGTAAAAGGAGCACCCGCTTCGGCCACGCTGCCCAGGCCCCACCACCTCGGGCCCCTCTCCCAGAGAGGCAGCCAGGCCTTTGGAGGCGTGCAGGAAGGAAGGGCCCCCGCAGGAAGGAAGGGCCCCCAGATCCTGGCCCTGGCCGCAGTGCAGTGACCCAAGGCTGGGGCGGGTGGCTCTGAGCAGCAAAGACACTCCTGCCAGATTGAGGGAGGGCGAGGCAGGGTCAGGCCTCAGCCTCCAAGGCTCCAGGGGGCGGGCTGGCTCGCAGGAAGGGGCAAGACACCTCCCCCTAGTGGACGGTCCTGGAATAACTCGCCCAGTGGGGCAGTTCCTGCCCCTGGCTGAAAGCTGGTGGGAGGGAGGGGTGGACTGGGGGGCACATGGTGGCGGGGGAGGGGTTCACTGCAAGTCACCCCCCCCCTTCA